AACTGTGTTCCACCAGATCCTGTATGTCAAAACGTATAGTTTACTGCTGAACTCATTATATCATGGTAAAATAACACAGAAATCGAATAATAACACTTCAGTCTACTACAGTCTCCTGCCGAAGCTCAGACGCGCTGCTTTGAGAAACTGTCAATCACAGCTGTCAATCACGATGACACGCCCAGCATTAAATTACTGCTAAATACAAACTGTTTACAAAAATGAGGATCTGCACCTATTTCAGCACAATAACCAGTGCCTTAATCCACCAGAACCATCTTTAGGGATATTTTATTGCAAGTGTAATTATTTTTTTTATTTGGGCTCAAGTCTCCTTCATTAACACGGAGGAGGCGGGCTTTATGACTTGTACTGCAGCCAGCCCCCAGGGGGCGATCTAACGGCCGAGACCGTTATTCAAAAGCAGGCTTGCGGCACACTTGATTTTAACCGCCTGCTGCACCTCGCGTTTTTGCCGTAGCAGACTCCAGACTTTGACACTCTTGTGAAGAGCTGGCACCAGCCTCATTGTTCACATTATAATAACATGACCTGAAATAACAAAGACTAAGATTCTTCTTCCGTTTTATCTCATGGTTTTATGATTAATATGAGCACATTAATACAAGCTCAAATGAGATTGTTGTACATTTATATTAATAATACATTAATAATTGCTTGGTAAATGTGTTTTTTGTGTCATAGAATATATTTTACATGCAAAAATCCACTTTAAAATGTTCTTTTATCAAAGATTTGTGGTTTTATCAAGTTTCATGATGATTGATCTCTATATTCTAAAACCAGTGCAAATTAGATTATTGTAAATTTAACTAAATAGTAAACTTTATTCATTATTTTTAATGTGTTAATACGAGATTTTATTCTATCAGACAATATATTTTCTATTCTCCACTGTAAAAATGATTACATAATAACAATAATAATAATAATAATAATAATAATGATAATAATAATAATAATTATTATTATAATAATTATTATTCTATTTTATAAGGCATTATCTCATTGTCTTATGATAATTGATAAGTAAATATAAATAGCAGTGCAAATCAATTTGACTTGTAATACTGATGTGCGATACCACTGAGTTCCTATCCGATCCGTAGGCCCACACGGAATCTGTGCGTGCAGAATTCCGCAGATTTTCCGCAGATTTTAAGCCCATCATTAATTCTGTTCATTTACTTGAGTAAATGTGTAATTCTGAATTTATTCAGTTTTTATTCAGTAATTTATTCCTTTTTATTTAATATATTAAGGTTTTAGTTATGATACTCCGTTGGACACTCCCAAAATAATTCCGCAGAAATCCGCAGATTTTTACCAAAATTCTCCACAGAAATAGCAAAAAACGTCCGCAGATTCCGTCTGGCCCTGGCAATTCGATACCAAGCAAAATGAAGGCGAGTATCGGCAATACCGATCCGATTCTGATACTGCCCAAAAATTACTGTTTGTGAAATTAAAATAAAAAGTAGTGTCCTTAAAAATTTTACTTTATACTGAATACGAGCCATATTACAGGCTATTCTTGTTTATTGATGAAGAATTATCATACAAAAAAGCCAACTTACTTATATATTGACAGCATTTGAGCATGAATATCTTAAAACGCCTGCCTGAACATCTTAAAAAACATATTCACACTTCTACATTTAGTGACATGTTAATCATGAAAGTGTTTTGAACCTTTTTCCGTTGTTTATCGTTGTCACAAAAAACCCAAGAGCCCTAATACAGCTGCATTTTCTCCCTCTGTGCCTGAATGTTGCCTGCCTGCTGCACCTAAGGACTCTGAAAGCGATGTCTGTCTCGCCCTAGCAGCACCTGTACCTCTCCTTTACTCCTCGTCTGACCACCTAGTCATGACGTTGTCATATTCTGTCTTGTGATTTCTATGTAGATGTTTGATTAGGCTTGTAGTATTACCACAGTACCTCACTGTTTAGTTACACGTGTCACAAACCGCATCGTTTGAGAAGTGAAGTAGCTCCACACAAAACTTTGCATGTGACGGGCCAGCGGACTGAGTGGCTAGCTAGTGTGCTCTGCAGTTGTACAGTGCCATATTACGCACATGACTTGGCTGGCGGAAGAACAAGTAGTTCTGACTATGTTGCCACTATTCAGAGTATTAATTGTAGTTATTTTCCGCAGTACTTCTATTTCCAACAAACCACATATTTGCTCAAAAGTAAATAAATACAAGTTATTCTTTGAAGGATTTGACACGTGGCCCTTCACTTGGTTTGCAAAACTTGATGTGGCCCTCGGGTCTAAAATGTTTGCCCATCACTGGTCTAGAGACACGTCCATCTCTTCATCCAGCTTGAATATATCCAATAATAAAAGATTCAGATAAAACATCTGATCATTATAATGACCAAAAGTCTGTGTGAGTCTGAAGCCTTCTGGGATGCATTATGCTCAAATCCAGATCCTTTCTTCTTTAAAAAAAAAAAGAGATGCTGTTAAAAAGATCCTCAAGGTCTCTGATTCACTGCCAAAAACCCTAAAGCAAAACCTGCTTCAGTATCCTGATGAATAAAGAGGCAGCATCAGTCTGCTGATCTGCTGAATTCATCAAGGTCACGCCATTTAAACTGACATTAAATAAATAAAAAGTATATATATATATATACACACACATATATCACAGCCATATCACCCAGCAGTTCAAGACCCTCACTGAAGCTAAGCACGGGACCATGGGAAAGTGAGGTAACTGTTGGCAGTGGTGTTAGTGAGGCCAGCAGGGGGAGCTCGACCTGTGGTCTGTGAGTCCTAATGCCCCAGTATAGTGAAGGGGACTCTATACTGTCAGTGACCGCTGTCTTTCAGATGAGACATTAAACTGTGGTCCTGACTCTGTGCTCATTAATAATCCCATGGCATTTCTCATAAAGAGTAGGCGTGTAACCCCGGTGTCCTGGCCAATTTTCTCCATCAGCCCTTACCAATCATGGCCTCCCAATCTTCCCCATCCACTGAATTGGCTCTATCACTGTCTCTCCACTCCCCCTATAGCTGGTGTGTGGTGAAGCACTGGCACTGACAACATTTTTCCCATTGCAGCTTGCCTTTTTTTTGCAACCGGGGACCCGCGTGACGTCATGTGTGACGTAGGTTGGTAACTGGTCTATAAGAAGTAAAAGATACATACAAGAATGCATAAAAAGGCAGAAACAAAGCCAAGATAATAAAAACAAAGAAGCATATAAAAACAGACTAAACACTTTCTTCCGGTTTATAAATATCCTTGCAAACATCAGTGCTACAGCTCCCGGTGCTCTTCTGTTCAGACACTGAGCGCTTTAGCAATAACAGCTTCAGAAAGGAGAATATTTTTAGCAGATCTGTGATGACCAACAACCTTCATCATTACACGAAGAAATAAAAGATCCTTTTATTGACGTCATCTCTTACGCACAGAGAGTGAAATAAAACACACCTTTCTTTATTTATAGACATTTAATGAGCTCATATGCAAAAATAGTAACCTGATTAGACTATATGCTTCCATGTATTTAAATATTTTCTGCTCAGAAAGGCTGTGATTATTGAAAATGTGAATTATTAAAATTCATTCATTCATTCATTTTCCTTAGGCTTATTCCCTTATCTTTTAGGGGTTGCCACAGCGGAATGCTGAAATAGTTGGCGGTTCATAGTTGTAACCCAGTACTGGGAAACACCCACACACACCCACACACCCACACACACACACACACACACACACACACACACACACACACAACGACCAATTTCAAAAGTTCACACTTCGCTCATGATTTATACATAGCTTGTTTGGCATGCTGTCACAGGAGAGAGCCCTGAGCTCAAGGGATCCTCGAGCCCAGGCCTCCCGCCTTTTGCAGGGCGAGGGGAGATTGAGCTCAGGTCGATCTTAAACTCCCCTGCTGCTGACGCCAAGGCCAACTTCCTGAGAGTAACACATTATAAAAAGGTTTAGGCTCATCAATAATATAGAGCACATTTGGATGGTGGGAAGAAACCGGGGAACCCGGGGGAAACCCACGCGGACACGGGGAGAACATGCAAACTCCACACAGAAATACCAAATGGCTCGGCGAGGACCAAACACCATTGGTATTCTTGCTGTGAGGTAACAGTGCTAGTCACTGAGCCACCGTGCCGCCTATTTTGGATAAAGGTGGAAGAAGGGGAGGGGGGTTTCTTCCAGACGAAGATTGTTGTAGAAAGGAAATGAGGGTATATATAGTGACTTGTGATCCTTTGATTGGAGGATCATGATTAGCTAATGTGGACCAGCTGGGTCAATCATGAGCACATGCTCCTCTCGAAATTAGTTTAAAAATTAAACTTCACTAAGTTCATCAATTCCCCTATAGCGCATGTGTTTGGACTGCGGGAAACCGAAGCACCTGGAGGAAAGCTATGCCAACACAGGGAGAATATGCAAACTCCACACAGAAACGCCAACTGACTCAGCCGGGACTTGAACCAGCAACCTTCTTATTGTGAGGCGACCACCTAGCCAACGTGAAAAATCACTAAATGTGTTGCTAAACATTTGCTTCTTGTGTTTTATCGATGACGTCACCACTGAATAGTCGACTTGACTTCAAAAACATACAGTAAAGGTCGACTTGAAAATATCTAAAGTTGTTCAGCCCTAGAGTTTAATTTGTGCCGGAACATAGCGGCATCCAGATCCGGCACCTCTGAAATCTGATCTGGCACCTCATTTTACCGGTCCCCCTCTTCATCCACCCTCCTCCCCCGTCCGCTGCTCACCTTCACTTTCTTCCGCGACTCCCCAACCCCCTTTACTTTAGTCTGCAACACCCAACTCTTCCCCGCTCTTTACTTTCCTCCGCGACACCTCTCCATATGCGGGTAACTTGCCAGATCCATTTCCCCGATTTGTTCTGGGACCTCACAATTCACAAATTAAGCACTGTTCAGCCCCTAACACACACACACATACTCACCCAGCACTCCGAGTCTGTAGTTCACGGTGACCACGATGACGTTTCCATAGCTGGCGAGGACACTGCCGTCGATCATGTTCCCCGTTCCCTCCACATATGAGCCGCCGTGAATGTAAACCATCACCGGCTTCAAGCCTGCATCGTCTTGAGTTTCTAAAAGAAAAGAAGATCCGTTACACACAGACATGGGACGATAACCAGTTTCAAGGTTTACTGCTCCTTGGAAAAGTCAAGGTTTTAATACGACAAAAGTGTTCTGCTTTACCGTTCCTGCAGTATTTGTACATTTTTATTTAGTTTTTAGGACAACAGTATCTTCATCAGTAAAGGATCCTCCTTATTAAGAGCTGCTGGTCAGCCCATGATTCAGTAAACATCTGAGAAACACAGCCTGCGTTTATAGCCTGTTTCCACTGAGTGGTTCGGTTCGGTATGCTTTTGTGGGAGCTTACATTGTCAAAAGGGACCAAAAAGCGAATTGTACAATACCAGTTTTTGGGTACCCTCTGCATACCTAGAAAAACAAAAAGGGTACCAAAAGGCAGAGGCAGACATGCAGCTTAATGCTATTAGTTTACAGTGATACGTTACTAGCTTGTACATAAGTGTCGTTTTTAAAAAATGCACAGCTGAGAAATTACACAGTAATACTATATGGATATAATAACAAGCCATGGTCAACCCGAGCTCAAACAAACCTTGTCGTTGTCCTGATGAATAGCCACAAAGCCAAGAAGAAGACAAGAATCTACCCTGTGCCCTATAGTTGTTTACAAGATGGTCTAAAAGTGCGAGCAGTTTCACTTTCTACAGAGAGCTCGTGTGCGCATCTATATTTGAAATAAGGAACTTCTTGAGCTGATGATAAAAACGTGTGCATGATAATTGAAGAGCTTCTGACACTCTTTCAGAAACAGACAAACAATGAACGTGATGCTAAGATCATTTGAGAAATCTTTTGCATGAATATTAATTTCATTAGAATTAAACTCTATTGACAATTCAATAAAATACAAAAAAAAATGTTTTATAGAATTATCTGTTGTGTGTTGTCTTAGACCCGACCCATGGCAGAGAATTAGATTTATCAAGTCTAATCTCCATTACCTAATCCCTCCTTTCTGCTTCATACCAAATAAATCTATCAGTAGGCATGCTTGGTAAGATCACTATCTTATTATTTAAACTTTGTTTTGTCATCTTGCTAAACTCATGCTTGCACTCAATCCCGCCGGTACTACAGCACCCAACCCGATTCAAGCTGGAATCGAACCGGCGACCTTCCGCATGGGAGTCAGTTGCTCTAACAAGGAGGCTAAAGAGCTTCTGTGTTCAGCTGCTTTGACACAATCTACAATGTAAGAGCGCTAGAGAAATGAAGATGAATTGAATCATACTGTCAGAAAAAAATTATCTACATCAAGCCATTCATACACAAAACACATCCCAATGTCAAAGACCAGAACGGTTGAAAAACAAACTATTTCTAAACACTATAGTTGAAGTGTCTACGCATGGGTGTTAGTGCTGTGTTACAAAGCAAATGGAGGAGAAACACAAATGTCTCGGCATTCAGTGTTTTGTTTGTGTTTTGCAGTTCAGAGTGCAACGAGTCTTGTTCTCCAAGAATAGACGGACGGACGGACGGATGGATGGACGGACGAACGGACGGACGGATAGATGGATAGATGGACGGATGACAGACAGACAGACGGACTGACGGACGAACGGATGGATGGATGGATGGATGGATGAACGGACGGATGGACGAACGGACGGATGGATAGATGGACGGATGATAGATAGATAGATAGATAGATAGATAGATAGATAGATAGATAGATAGATAGATAGATAGATAGATAGATAGATGGATGGATGGATGGATGGATGGATGGATGGATGGATGGATGGACGAACGGACGGATGGATAGATGGACGGATGATAGATAGATAGATAGATAGATAGACAGACAGACAGACAGACAGACAGACAGACAGACGGACGGATGGACGGACGGACGGAGTGATGGATGAATGGATGGACGAAAGGACAAACAGATAGCCATATGGACGGACGGACGGACGGACGGATAGACAGATAGATAGATAGATATGGATAGATGGATGGATGGATGGATTGATGGACGGACGGATGGACGAACGGATGGATGGATAGATGGACGGATGATAGATAGATAGATAGACAGACAGACGGACGGACGGATGGATGAATGGATGGACGAAAGGACAAACAGATGGATGGACGGACGGACGGACGGATGGACGGACGGACGGACGGACAGACAGACAGACAGATAGATGATGGATGGATGGATGGATGGATGGATGGATGGATGATAGACAGACAGACAGATAGACAGACAAACAGACAGACAGGTAGATAGATGGATGGATGGATGGACGAATGGACAGATGGATAGATGGACGGATGATAAATAGATAGAGGGATGGATGGATGGATGGATAGATGACGGATGATAGATAGATAGACAGACAGACAGACAGACGGACGGACGGACGGACGGACAGACAGACAGATAGATAGATAGATAGATGATGGATAGATGGATGGATGGATGGATGGACGGACGGATGGACAAACGGACGGACGGATGAATAGATAGATACATAAACAGACAGACGGACGGACGGACGGACGGACAGACAGATGGATGAATGAATGGACGAAAGGACAAACAGATAGCAGGACAAACAGATAGCAGGACAAACAGATAGCCGGAGGGCCGGCCGGCCGGCCGGCCGGACGGACGGACGGACGGACGGACGGACGGACGGACGGACGGACGGACGGACGGACGGACGGACGGACGGACGGACGGACGGACGGACGGACGGACGGACGGACGGACGGACGGACGGACGGACAGACAGACAGACAGACAGACAGACAGACAGACAGATAGATAGATAGATAGATAGATAGATAGATAGATAAATAGATAGATGATGGATAGATGGATGAATGGATGGATGGACAAGTAGATGGACGGATGATAGATAGATAGACGGACGGACGGACGGACGGATGGATGGATGGATGGATGGATGGATGGACGAAAAGACAAACAGATAGCCATATGGATGGACAGACGGACGGATGGACAGATGGATAGATGGACGGATGATAGATAGATAGACAGACAAACAGACAGACAAACAGATAGATAGATGGATGGACGGACGGACGGACGGACGGACGGACGGACGGACGGACGGACGGACGGATGGACGGAAGACAGACAGACAGACAGACAGACGGACGGACGGACGGACGGACGGACGGACGGACGGACGGACGGACGGACGGACGGACGGACGGACGGACGGACGGACGGACGGACAGACAGACAGACAGACAGACAGACAGACAGACAGACAGACAGACAGACAGACAGACAGACAGACAGATAGATAGATAGATAGATAGATAGATAGATAGATAGATAGATAGATAGATAGAGTCAGACGGACAGATAGGTGGCCACATAGATGGAAGGACGGACAGATAGATGGATAGATGGACAGATGGATGGATGGATGGATGGATGGATGGATAGATAGATAGACGGATGGATGGATGGATGATGGATGGATGGATGGATGATCTATTGATGGACAGATAGATGGATAGATGGACAGATGGATGGATGGATGGATAGATAGACGGATGGATGGATGGATGGATGATCTATTTATGGACATTTAGATGGATAGATGAACAGATGGATGGAAGATGGATGGATAGATTGATAGATAGACGGACGGACGGACAGACAGCTAGATGGATAGATAGATGGATGGATAGACAAATAGATAGCCACTTAGATAGATGGACGGATGGACGGACAGATAGATAGATAGATAGATAGATAGATAGATAGATAGATAGATAGATAGATAGATAGATAGATAGATAGATAGATAGATAGATAGATAGATAGATAGATAGATAGACAGACAGATGAATCTTCTTCTTGTTAATCAGTGTGTGTGTGTGTGTGTGTGTGTGTGTGTGTGTGTGTGTGTGTTTAGAGTAAATATGTTAATGTTTCTGGTCTTCATAAAGGACGTCTGAGGTCAGAGGATGTGCTTTTATCTGCTGCTGTTTTACATCACGTCCATTAACTCATTATAATCTCCATTAGGCGGAAGATTGAGACCAGCAAGCACTGTAACTCAGTGGACAAGATCAAAAGTGTGCACTACTGAGGGCAGGACAGAACCCGGCCAATTAGGAGCAACTGCAGATCCTTTCCATTAAGTGTGAAAAATGAAGCGGCGTTTAATGAGCGGAGGGTGTTTACTGCGGTACGTTACTGTGTTCCCCAAGAGAAAACCGAGCTTCGTGAAAACTTACAGTTTCAGAAATGCATGCAGACGCTCGCTCTCGTGTTAATTACAAGGCAAGCAAGCAAAGATTATCCTCACTTAAACAGCATTAAAGGAAACATTAACATAACAGTTACTGGCTGTCTAACTGTATGCATTAAGAAGACCCTTAGAGGTTACAATAACACAAGCTCTTCCTTAGGGTTTAATTCTGCACGGCTACTGCAGTACATTTCTAAAACCTCTAAATAATAATGCTTTTTAATAGTAATAAGATATAAATACACAAATACAGAAGTCTTGTGGTGGATTTCAGCTGTAAGAGCTGCACATTATGACTTGACTTCTAGTTGATGATGTGTAAAAGTGTCAGAAGGTGGATTTCTCTGCTGATCTGCATCAATCATCACCAATACTGCAGAAGACCTACTGGAACCAGCATGGACCAATATTCTCACAGAAATCAGTCAAGTTTGGTGAAGGACACATCATGGTTTGGGGTTCATTCAGTATGGAGAGATCTGCAGAGTGGATGATCAACATCAACAGCCTGAGGCATCAAGACATCTGTGCTGCCCATTACATTACAAACCACAGGAGAGGGACAATTCTCCAGCAGGATAGCGCTCCTGCTCATACTTCAGCCTCCACATCAAAGCTCCTGAAAGCAGAGAAGGTCAAGCTGCTGCAGGATTGGCCAGCCCAGTCACCAGATATGAACATTATTGAGCATGAAGATGAAGGAGGAGGTGTTGAAGATGAACACAAAGACTCTTGATGAGCTCTGGGATCCTGCTGAAGGCTTTCTTCTTCATTCCAGATGACTTTATTAATCAGTGATGTGAGTCATGTCAGAGATGTATGGATGCAGTCCTCCAAGCTCATGATGGAGTCAGACACAATATTCACTCTGTCTCCACTGCAGCAGGACTTTATATTCTATACTGGACATTATTTCTGTTCAGTGATGACACTTTAGTCTGAGCAGAGTCAGACCGCACTGTCCTGATCAAATCATTAATAATCAAGACATGATCAGATTTTATTGAGCTCAAATAAGTGAAATCTAGAGGCCTTTACCTTTCATAGAGACACTTCTGACACCAAATCATCAACTAGAAGCCCAGTTATTATTAACTGTTCCTAAATCTTGGATAGGCAGCCTTTTGTTAGGTCTATTATAATATAATGAAAATAGAAAACAAAAAGACAAAAAACAACATCTCGGATATGTATAGTTAAAAATAAACAAAATTAATGATGGGCTAAAAATCTGCGTGTTCGTGTGGGCCTAGTCATGAGATCGTAGCATTCAAAAGAAACTCCAGACACACCTGATGACTGTTAGCCTGATGAAGGCAGCTCTCGGCTGAAGGTTGTTTAAAGATTGGCCATGTGAATAAGTGATGTTTTATAAACAAATTTCGGGAGGAGCACGATCAGACTTTGACGAGGCTAATTCATCACACACACAATCATTCTATTATCCAATCAGCTCATTAGCAAACCCCTATAAACACATCATACCTCTGTTTTCTCTTGGCTTCATCGCCCCTTCACCACCCCAACTCCACACTATTAAACCAGATACCTATTTAAATCTGAGCGGGGAGCGTTCTGGAGCCGGGCTAGACACTGCGCTCGGAACCAAACTCTCTTTATCCTGATAAGGGGAATAACACGAGTTAGGGTTTCCTCAAGTTAAAATGTTTTACACAGCAGATGCCCTTCCAGCTGCAACCCAGCACTGGGAAACACCCATACAAACTCATTCACTATGGCCAATTTAGTTCATCAGTTCCCCTATAGTGCATGTGTTTGGACTGTGGGGGAAACCGAAGCACCCAGAGGAAACCCACGCCAACATGGGGAGAACATGCAAACTCCACTTATAAATGCCGACTGACCCAGCTGAGGCTCGAACCAGCAACCTTTTTGCTGTGAGGCCACAGAGCTAACCACTGAGCCACCGAGTCGCCCCATTCAACATGAAATATTGTCTCAATTACCGTAAAATAGCATCGGTCTGCTCTATAAACGACTAATAAAACCGATGTAGAAAAGTAAAGTAAATTTCACAAACAAAAAGCAACGAACTGTAAATGACTCCATCTCATACTGTGTTTGAGTGTGTGCTCATATGTGCGTTTTAGCGTCTGTTTCATCATGTCTGGCTGCTCAGGCGATGTGTTGCGTTTCTGATGAATCTCTGAATGTCCTCTGGGAGCAAACAGCATGTTTTTGGTTTGGAAACCTCATTAACCAGACAGACACGCACAAACATGATGACAGAAGAGGCTTCAATACAGCGATCGGCTCATGCAGACATTAAACGCATGCTTCTGTTCCACATGTTAAAGCAGAACTGCCTGCATTCAGTGTTAAATCAGTCCGTAACACACTAAACACACTCACAGCAGAAAGCATTCGCTCACTGACTGCTCAAAAGAGTCATGCAGTACTGATCTGTAGAGTGTGAGTTCATATATTAGTTAAGTGTGAGTTATTAGTTTACGTATGTTATTGAGACGTTATTCTAAAGTTGCAACTATTCCTCGTTTACTAACAGTTAATAAATGAAGAATAGTTGCAACTAGAATAACGTCCCAATAACATATATACACTATTAACTGATACTTAACAAGTCTTTAGTAAGTAATTTACTAACAGAGTGTTTATGATCCCTGCTGTATAATTCAGCTTAAACCAGCCTAGGCTGGTTTAAGCTGGATATTTTAGCAGGGATCTCTTTCTAATTTATTAGGTATAGTTATAAAATCAGTAAAAAACAGTTAACAAGTAATTTACAACTTGTGACTAACAGCTTGTAAGTTATCTATTGGCTATCTATAAGGCACAGTTATAAATACTTAACAAACTATTAACTTTTATTTAATAAGTCATTTATAACTCATTAGTTTAGGGTGGACCATTTATATGGATACACCTTAAAAAAATGGGAATGGTTGGTGATATTAGCATCCTGTTTGTGGCACTAGTATATGTGAGGAGGCAAACTTTTCAAGATGGGTGGTGACCATGGTGGCTATTTTGAAGTCGGCCATCTTGGAACCAACTTTTGTTTTTTTCAATAGGAAGAGGGTCATGTGACCAGTAAAACTTATTTGGAATTTCACAAGAAACACAATGGTGTGCTTGGTTTTAACGTAACTTTATTCTTTCTGGAGTTACTTACAAGTTTTTGACCACTTATAAAATGTGTTCAATTGTGTTGGATGGTCAATGCCACCCTCTTTTCCCACTCTTCACACACTGATGGCAACGCCGCAGGAGAAATGCCAGGACAGGCTTCCAATATTTGCGACCCCTGGTCACAAAACTGGATGAAGTTAAGTTAATAAAGCATTAATTAACATACACGGTAACCATTACTATACGCCCCTGAATAATAAGAATTATGAATGTTAATTTAAATAGTTGAATAATAATATATTTACGCATTCAGAATTATCTTAAATTAGCACCAACTTTCTTAAATAACTGCTTCGTTAATAATGCAAAACTTAATTTAGTAATGAAGAATGGATCAATAACAGTATGAAAGTACAAGAATTAAGCACATTATAAATGTGCTTATAAGTAAAGAGCAGAGCATTTGTTATAAACTGCTTACTAATGTCTATTAATGCTTAACAAATCATGAATGCACTATTTGCTAATGCTTAATATATTATTTATAGTCTGTAGTCTCCTTATAAAGTTATCGAGACAATTCACAGGAGGGCATTAAACTCATATTAACCAGTTAAACTCTGCTGTTATTTTGGGATTTCCGCCTGGATTTTGCATACCCAAATTTAAAAGCTTCCTAAATCCACATGCAGAGGTGTAAATGCAATAATTTGGTATCATTTTAAAGAAAACCCTTTGAATTGTCCTAAAACACTATTGAAAGTGTTTAAAATATCTGTAGATGTTGTCTGTATTATAATCAACACCTTAAAAAAAGAGGCACTTTTTGTAACTCAAATTTGAAAGTGTCTCTTTTAGGTTGTGTGTGGTCGAGCGTGCTGTAATTAATGTTGGTGGTTCCTGCACATGTCTGTAATCATAGGAAGAAAGAAAAATGTCTACACCATAATCTATGCAGAAGTTATTGTATTGTAACTGATGAAAGGTGCTGTACAAGCCACAGGGAGCGATCATTGTGTTCATATTTCACTATTCTTTTGTTTGATCAAACATAATTCACTGTGTTTGGAGCACGTCAGACATATTAAAGCATTACTTATACACATCACCTCAAAAACAGAGGAGAAACAGCCCTGAAGTGCACAGCATAAGGTAAGAGATGACAGCAGTCTGTACTATCTGGGGCTGCTTATTGATCATAAATGTATTGTGTTCACTTCTGCGGCATGGAAACACCGCGATTCATTCGGCAGCTGTTTGATATGTGAATATAATTCAGTAAAAAGAATGCTAGAACCATATGAGCACCGGCAAGAGCTTTCATTTGAGCTATAACTTGTACATGTGTCATATACAACCCAAGCTCATTCTGGAAACGTAGCCCTGCAGACGTTTCTGGAGACCGCGATTTACATGGCCGGAGGTACGTAAAGGGCGCGTTTAGTTTTTTTCGAGCGAACGCTGCGGGGCGGTGTGGCGCCGCCCCTCCTCTTCGCGCTCGCCAGCCGACGGCTCGCCTCCGAGTGGAGGGCTTTCCCGATGCAATCAGTTTGTCCGCTTAGCTCACAGTGTTGCGTCGGCGGAGGCCCCGGAGGAGGAGGAGGAGCCGGCCACGGTGGACGACGACCGGGATCGAGTCCGGGGAACAGCAGGTTCCGGAAATCAGGTGAGACGAAAAACAGATTCCGAAAAATAAGGGCGAGAACGTGGCGGGATCCGAAAACGCGAAATCGAAGAAGAGGGCTTTTGCTTTTTTTTTTTTCTGGACGGCTTTTGCGAACCGTCGCTCGGGTTTAGGGAAGGAGGAGGAAGAGGAGGGCGGCCGAGTCGGCCGATCCGGTGGCTTTTCGCGTGAGAACGGCGCGGGTGCGAACGGCGCGCGCTCCCGAGAGGCGCCCGAGACGCGAAAAAGCGCGCACAGCGGCCTCTCGCGGATCCGCGAAAACAAAAACCGCTCGAATATGTACCTCCTGGGACGTAAATCGCAGTCCGCAGAAACGTCCGTGGGGCTACGTTTCCACAATGAGCCCGGGTTGGTCATATATGAACCATATGAAAATGAACCAATGTTCAATACCCAGCTCGGTAAGTAAGTGTAAATAACTTTTGTACAGTAGAATAAAAACCAAAGTGATGCATCTGTGCATAAAATATAGATTCTACACTTTCAAACGACACCACTTACGGGGGTCTGGTGCAATGCTAGCCCTTTAAATCCTAAAGCAAAAGCCGATGACGACACGGACGTCCGTAGAGTTTAACTGGTTAAACATATTAAATTCAGCATTTCATCACATTCTCAAGGTTTTTTATCCTTCACTTTCGCTAATTGGTAAAACGACCTGTGGAGCTGCGCATGGATGGATTTGCTCTTCAGTGTTTGGACTCTCAGCAGTAAATTTTAAACCACACTGAACTGAACTAAACTGAACTTAAACTCTAAAAACTGAACAGACACTGTTTCAATTCACTAAAATCTTCTATGTGAAGCTGCTTTGACACACGATCTACATTGTAAAAGCGCTAGAGAAATAAAGCTGAATTGAATAGATAAATTCAAATGCACACCACAGCCACACATCGACCAGCTATTTTAAATCACACACATACCTTCCTCCGTGGGCACGTATATGTTGAGATACAGACAATCTTCGCTCTGATCGTGCACGTATGTGGCCACGGTGTCCAGATTGGCAGTAAACCAGACGGGCAGCATATCAGTGAGCAGCAGCCGGTCCTCCAGAAACTGCGGACACACTGGAGCGAACTGTGTGGCGTTCCTGATCCCCGGCCAGGACAGCGGCGGCTCCGGGGCCTGAAAACGACGCTCTCCTGTAGGGGCCATAGCATACGGGACGCCCAAAAACTGCTCCACGGGGCCCAAAATCTCACTGGGAAGAGCCACACGGAGCCCGCGGAGCTTCCCGTAATTAGTGGTCACAGTAATGAACTGCGTCTGCTGAGCCAGAGCCAGCGTAAATCCACAGAACACACTGAGGATGTGCTGGATCATGGTGATAATGCTTGTGTGCTGTAATCCAGATGTTAAATGTTAATCCAGAGATGTTTGAGAGAAGGTCATCATTTCTGCGGCTGGCTGTCGGATGTTTGCTGCAGATCGAGTGCTGTTGATGGTGTTATCCATTATTTTTAATCCAGAAATGTGTTAATTCCAGAGGATTAGGGAGGATCTTGCTGCCTGTGGAGAGAGAGATCATGATTTACATTAGATTTTCTCAACACATTATCACAGATAACAGTGTTAATATCTCATTTCTAATAGCTGATTCCTTTTCTCTTTGTCATGATGACAGCACATAATATTAGACTAGACATTCTACAAGACACTAGTACTTCTAGATTTAATTCCAGAGGATTAGCCAGAAAAATGTGCCTGCGGGAGACAGAAAGTGTGATTAGAAGAGCATTTCAATGCAAATCATTCAATTTCCTTCAGCTTAGTCCCTTATTTATCAGGAGTCGCCACAGTGGAATGAACCACCAACTATTCCAGCTGCAACCCAGTACTGGGAAACACACCATACACACTCATACACTGCACCAATATAGTTCATCAATTCCCCTATAGCGCATGTGTTTGGACTGTGGGGGAAACCGGAGCACCCGGAGGAAACCCACACCAACACGGAGAGAACATGCAAACTCCACACAGAAACACCAACTGACCCAGGCAGGACTCAAAACAGCAGATGTAAAACAGTGTTGTGAGTGCTGGTCAGGTGTGCTTCAGTGCGAGTGTGTGTTGATGCTTCTGTCAGTCTATGTCGCGCCTGTTCATCTAAAACTCCACATCTATAATCCTCTGAGTCTATGCTGACATCATCTTCAGCAGCTCAAACACTCTAATGGCTAATGGACAGACGGCTGCTTCTCACTCAGGGCTGCTGTTTATGCTAATCTTTTTCATGTTGTGCACAAAAACTGCACGAGAATAATCCTTTATTCAATAATAGTACATCAGTAATCTGTGCCAGCAAATTTCATTAGTGTGAAAAGGAGCTGAAGTTCTTGGCATTATACTGCCCCCTGGTCCTCATTTTAAAAAGTGTTTTGTGGTTTCACTAATATTTTGTCTCGTTTATATTTACATATACACTCACCGGCCACTTTATTAGGTACACCTGTCCAGCTGTTTGTTAACGCAACATTTGTAATCAGCCAATCACATGGCAGCAGCTCACTGCATTTAGGCATGTAGACATGGTCAAGAGGATCTGCTGCAGTTCAAAGCGAGCATCAGAATGGGGAAGAAAGGGGATTTAAGAGACTTTGAACGTGGCATGGTTGTTGCTGCCAGTTCTGTGGGCGCAAATGCCTTGATGATGATGCTGGAGGTCAGAGGAGAATGGCCAGACTGGTTTCAGCTGATAGAAAGGCAACAGTAACTCAAATAAGCACTCGTTACAACCGAGCTCTGCAGAAGAGCATCTCTGAACACACAACACGACCAACCTTGAGGCGGATGGGCTACAGCAGCAGAAGAGCACACCGGGTGCCGCTCCTGTCAGCTAAGAACAGGAAACTGAGGCTACAATTCACACAGACTCACCAAAACTGGACAATAGAAGATTGGAGAAACGTTGCTGCTCTGATGAGTCTCCATTTCTGCTGACACATTCGGATGCTCGGCTCACAATTTGGCCTCAACAACATGAAAGCATGGATCATCCTGCCTTGTATCAGCGGTTCAGGCTGGTGGTGGTGGTGTAATGGTGTGGGGGAGATTTTCTTTGGGTCCATTAGTACCAATTGAGCATCAACGCCACAGCCTACCTGAGTATTGCTGCTGACCATGTCCATCCCTTTATGAGCACAGTGTCTCCATCTTCTGATGGCTACTTCCAGCAGGATAACGCAGCATGTCATAAAGCTCAATCATCTCAGACTGGTTTCTTGAACATGACGATGAGTTCACTGTACTCAAATGGCCTCCACAGTCACCAGAGCTCAATCCAATAGAGCAGCTTTGGGATGTGGTGGAACGGGAGATTGGCATCATGGATGTGCAACTGACAAATCTGCAGCAACTGTGTGATGCTATCATGACAATATGGAGGAATATCTCTGAGGAATATTTCCAGTAGCTTGCTGAATCTCTGACATGAAGGATAAAGGCAGATCTGAAGGTGAAAATGGGGTCCAAAGTACCCCCTAAGTAAGGTGTACCTAATAAAGTGACCGGTGAGTGTATATACAGTATTTATAGTTTTATATACTGCTGTTTAATATTTATTTCTTCAAACCTTTGATTTTTAATGTATTTAGGAATTTCTCACAGTATTTCCTCTAATATTTTTCCTTCTGGAGAAAGTCTTATTTGTTTTATTTCGGCTAGAATAAAAGCAGTTTTTAATTGTTTAAACACATTTTAATGTCACTATTTTCGCCCCTTCAGCAATATTAGTGTTGGATTGTCTCCAGAACAAACCACTGTTATACAATGACTTGCGTAATTACCCTAACTTTACCCTAATTACCCTAGTGAAGCCTTTACATGTCACTTTAAGCTGTATACTAGTGTCTTGAAGAATAACTAGTCTAATATTATGTGCTGTCATCATGGTGAAGAAGAAATAAATCAGTTATTAGAGATGAGATATTAACACTGTTATGATTAGAAATGTGTTACACAAAATCTCAGTTAACAGAATATAATATAATAGAAGTGAAATTTAGGATGGCTAATAAGTGTAAATAATGATGAATACAAATAGTGTGAATAAACACTATACACACACACATTAAGTATGCATTTCCAATGAGCCCGTGCTGAAAGAATGACAATAAAATATGGAGAAACCCAATTATTACCTATGAATAATGAGCTGATCAGTGCACCGAGCCGCATTCACAAAAGCAGATTCAGCAGATTCACTCCTGCATTTCAATGCTTTTTCTCTGTCTCTCTGTGAAACACTGCAGCACAACACACTCGCAGGTAACGAGGCTGTGAAAAACACACTCCGCTTTGTATTCTCACTCCATTAAGATGAATGAGATGTTGATGGAGAACGTCCAGGCTGTGTAATAACACCAGGCCGTATAAATCTGCCACATTCATCTCTATATGCTGAGAGCCATTAACAGCCAGACATCAGCTCATCTGAGAAACACACACACACACACACGAAAACACTTCACAGCGCCAAACACACACAATACTGGAGACGAAAACACACACACATGTTTTACACAGAACTGTCAAAACGCTGCTGAAGGCTAAATTATGAGCGCTCGTGTGACGTTTTAGCTTTCAAATATTTCCCAATGATGTTTATTAGAGATAAAGTTTTAAACATAATAGTTTCATTAACTAATTTCTAATAACTGATTTTTTTTTTTCTTAGTGATTCGGGGGCCCTAAGCAACTCCAGGTATGGGGCCTCAGCATTAAAACTCAAACACCTTCTTTCTCTACAGACATTTTTCTCTGTAGATTCTGGGTATTTTGTAAATAAACTGCAAGTTATAATCAAGCGGCACCCTCCCCCTCTCCCTCGGGAAGTCAATACGGGAAGGAACTGAAACTGCAATTCATCGAAATTCCGCTAGTCCTGGCCCCATAATTAAGCAGATTTCAGTTGAGCCCACTGCTAGAATGGCCGACTTTACAGCAGATAAAAGGTGTTTACAGCCTGCTATAAAGAACGATTTTGGTTCATAAAGCTAATATTACGCTTCATGACAACTGTGAGAGGTGAAGTTATTTATAACTCATCAGTTTCCTTTATATTAAGTTATATTGAGTCTGCATAATTAAGGGCGTGGCTACTTGAGTGACAGCTGGGTCTCGCTGGTCACATCACCTCAGCTGATTCCGGCTGATTAGCTGCTGAACTCGGCAGATTCATCATATTTTTGTGTTGAATGCTGCTTTATTAAAAGCATAATATATATATATAATAAATATATATATATATATATATATATATATATATATATATATATATATATATATATAAATAATAAAAAAAATAAAAAAAAAAAAAAAA